CAGTCATTTTTCTCGAATTTCGGCAGGTTTTGCAGCGTATTCCTTCCCAGTTAATTCTATTCGGAAAACGGTTGTATGTGAAGCAAGACCACCGTCTTGAGGTTTGCCCCGACCTGTCTACGCATCGCGATCCAAGAGACTGTCAGTGGGTAAAATGTTGAAACGACGAGCGAATTCGGAAAAGGACTCACCGAATGCGCTAAGACGACACAGCCAGTGGATGTCTGCGAGGCTTCACCGTTTTTCGAAATCTGACGAATAGAGAGCACCAAAGTAGATATGTAGTCTAAGTTATATCATAAACGTAAGGGAAGTGCAGATTTGTAGAAACCCTTCAAACAAGAAAATTTCGGACGTCCGAATATTTGTTACCATATTTATGGCGCACCATGTATATTGCTGCGTCGAGTCGAAGGAACGGAATTCTCGGCCGACTAAAATCATCAAATTTTTCTTTCTTTTCAGTTCCTCATTAAGAACTCTTTTTTGCGGCCTTCAATAAGCTCTGTTATGGGTGCGTCCGCGGAAGAATTTTTTCCGGAAAGAGGCACTTTTTTACGACCTATAATAACTTCTTTCATGGGTATGTCCCGGGAGAAATCTATCGTGGGAAAGTGGCAATCAGAAATGATCTTGTCGGCAAAAACGATGATTTTTGTACCAGTTCGCAGAGTTTCGGGAATAACTGTTTGCATTCGCTTCGATCATTTCAATTATTCAGATGGAGTTAGTTCCGAATCTCATGTCGAGCAGCGAGACAACTAGCTAAGAATTGCCGCGCGCTACGAGTAGACCGGTAATTCAGTTCTCGAGAACCATTCCGACTTGTTCCCATAACGACTCCTTACTGTCAAGTACTGCACCAGAGGTGAAGATTTTCACCTCGACTCATATTACTGGTAAATCAAGCAAACGCCAAGTAAACCAGCAGCTCATTGATCAGCGAGTGATAGTAACGCTACAGATACTCAGATGGCCCCTGAGCATGCTTAACAAAATGAGTTGCTTCGCCTGAGCTGGGAAAAAATTGCTGAATTTAGTGAACCGTCGAGCAGACGCAACTCGGGCAGCTCCTTCGCCGAACCAAGTCGCGGGTGTGTTGTGTTCAGTTGACTAACAACTAGTATAGTGCATGTAGAGTGCCGGATAGATGGCATGCAGTAAACTAATGTGTATTTACAGTAATCAAACAACAAAATTGCAAAGGTAGGAACTAAAAAGCGGTTTTTTGAAACTTTTTCTGGTGTAAGTCATTCATTAAAGCAACTAAATTTCGATTTTCTACAAGATTTTGTAACTTGCAATTTTGAAGGATTAACAACGGCCTTCGTTTCTGCTGTAAGGATAGTTTTGAGGCTCTGTTGCTTCAGAAGCCTTCCCACCTCTCGACCATCATCAGGACGTTGGTCTCCTAAACAAATTGAAGACAAATTCAAGGATTACGATGTTGATCATCGAGATGATAACAATAATGGTGAGTAAATTCTTTTTTTAAACAAAAGATATGACAATGCGGCCTCTGGCGAAGGGCAGACCAGGGCTCGAGACCATGGCTGTGGGAAATTCAGGAGACGTTTCAAAGGCACTCCCAGGACGTAGGGGTATTTCAATCAGATCACCTTATCACTAATGGGTAGATACACAGAGGAATTGGTCCCTGAAATATTGTATTCAAGAAGCATCTGCTTTGAATTTTGCAATAGTCCTGATCTTTCTAGAATATTCTAAAGTTCTCATAGAAGTTCTACACATAGATGGGTACGCAATCCATTTGTATGCCATACTTCAACTTTTTTTGTGTCCCAGATCACATTTTTCTGAGTGCAAGAATTCGATAGCACTTCTTCTTCCCATTGCGAAATTGGAAACTTGTACGATTGGAGAGTACCGGTCGTTCACGACGTAAAGTGAAGCATATTTGACGTAATCTAGTTCTACGGTATAACTGTCGTGACGCTAGGTAACCGGAGCCCTTTCGAAAGAATACCACTGTCAGGGAGGCGGTCGTTTGGGGCGGTCCCTCCCATCGCGCCGCCCATTCGACGCGGTTTGCGAGGTGGACAACTCGTCCAGGTGATAGGGGAACCCACTGCCTATCCAGCTGATAGAAGCCCGATCGATGACGCCGTTACTATTAGACACCGAATTGCGGACCTGCTTGTATTCTGCCTATCAGCGTGGCGCCACCGAACGGGCTTCTATCAGCTTGATGGGCAGTGGGTTGCTCGATCACCTGGACGAGTTGTCCACCTCGCAAACTGCGTTGAATGGGCGGCGTGATGGGAGGGATCGCGCCAAGCGACGTACACCCCCACTGTCACTGTGACGTTTAATGGAAAATATTCGCCTAACCCTTCTCTTCTTCCCTCTCCATCAAACCGATATAGGAAGCCGCTAGCAGGTGCACTTTCGTCGTCGTCGTTGTCGTATAGGCAACGTTTTTTTGCATTGAAGACCTCGTGAACATAGGCAAAAACTAACGGAAAAAATTTCAAAGGTGACCTACGTGGCCTCTCCTAAGATAGATAATGGTTTCAGGTGGTGAAGAGGAATTCAGGCGTATTGACTGGCGTGAAACACCTCCGCCAGCAACCAGAGGTGGCCGAAACCGCGGCGGAGAGTCTGTTGGAAGAGAAATTGAGCTCAGAGTGTAATATTATTCATTTATTTCCCTTCTTGATATCATCGTTGAAAATAAACAGTTTTGCTACTTTCAAGTGTTTTTGAGAATGTATGCGTCACAAGCCGAAGTATCCCTGATGACGGATTGTGTCCGTTTCTNAACGGAAAAAATTTCAAAGGTGACCTACGTGGTCTCTCCTAAGATAGATAATGGTTTCAGGTGGTGAAGAGGAATTCAGGCGTATTGACTGGCGTGAAACACCTCCGCCAGCAACCAGAGGTGGCCGAAACCGTGGCGGAGAGTCTGTTGGAAGAGAAATTGAGCTCAGAGTGTAATATTATTCATTTATTTCCCTTCTTGATATTATCGTTGAAAATAAACAGTTTTGCTACTTTCAACTGTTTCTGAGTTGTTATGCGTCACAAGCCGAAATATCCCTGATGACGGATTGTGTCCGTTTCTTCTTATGGTGTTGTTGAAGTCATTATTGCGTCATGTGTCTTGAAATATGTATATTTCTGATAAGTGATGTTGAAAAACCTAGCCTCGCTCAGGGCTTGGATAGTTTTCTCGAACTTTTTCTCATCTTCATTTTTGAAAACCCATCATAGACACGCCCATGTTGCGAATGTTCTCTCCCGTTTCGGGAACATCTCAAACTTTTTTGGGTAAACCCCATCAAGTTGTGATGAGATCTCAATTGTCCGGAACGTATGCTCTCCCAAACTCCATCAACGTCTTATTTCCTCGTTTGTTGCCGTCAGTTCCGTTCAATTTTAGTCATACTCCATCTGGAGCGCGCCACATATTTGACCCGATCTCGGGAGCGTGAAGGCATTTGGTTGGGTATTGACTTACCTGAGCAGGAGAAGACCATGGAATTATTTCTTGGGGTCAGTCAAAATAATGCCTGAAAGCTGAAAACCTTCTTGGCCTTTGCAACTTCCAGTGCTGTCTACATTTGGTGCTCACTTTGATGTAACGAACGTTGTCATGGGGTGAAAGTTTTGAGATGTTTTGATGTAACACATCAATAATACATAACACAGTCATTCCGTCGAAATATTAGGTTGGCAAATAAGTCCTGCGACAAAATGGAGACCTTTTTTGAATCATTTCTAAATTTTTTCATATCAATCAATTTTCGGAAAAATATTAACCGAAGAAGTCAACAGCCTTCTTTTATCCTTTGAGCCAATCACTGATACCATCTCTTCAGGAGTGAGGGAGCTGTGACCCAAAGAAGTAATTGACTGCCGTTTTCGGATCACATTAAGTTACGAATTTCTTTTCCACAGCGGGTTGCTCAAAAAGGCGGAGCACATGGTAGTTAAAAGGGGGAACACTC